CACCAGCAGGGACGAGGAAATTCTGTAACAAACTGTCAGATCTTCCTATTTTCAAAAATCACTTTTTTCAGCACAGCTACCAAGATGAGCATCCCTCAACTTACAGGTGACATGCTCTGACAATGCAGAAGTGTGGCTTTTAGCCCAGTCTGCCATCTGAATTTTTCTGCTGGCATCATCTCACCTCAGTTCAGTTTGGCCCTTCCCAAGTTACGTGTTTTGCCTCTCAGATACTCCCTATAAAACCCGTCTGCAGCAGCAGGAAAGAAAGTGAAAGTCTTCTAGTGACAAAGGGTTAAAACCGAAATGTGAACAAGTGGTTTAATGTTAATAACAACCACTTACAGCAAAATAAAAAACCCCACGAAGGGTAAAGAAGGCTATCAAGTCTCAGGGATGCTTCAAACTAGAGCACTATGGTCCCCTGTTAACTACGTAATGCTGACTTTAATTTACTGGAAAATAAGTGTTTGTACTAATAGCAAAAGACAACAAATTACATATTTATATGGAAATTAAAACAAATTATTGTTCATCTCAGTTCTGTTCAGGCAGCCTGTATTTCTCCAAACAGCAGGTCAATCCGCTACAAGTGGGAGAATGAGAAGCACGGACAAGGAAGATGCACCCGACCCAAGAGTCCCAATTCTTGCAAATGCACAATCAGTCACTCAGAGAAAGCCCTAAATAATATTATTATTCTTAAATCTAAGAAAGCAAGCAAAGCAAATCAGGCTATCACTGTACCCTCTCATTGTAATTTCATAATTTCATTTCCTGAAAACTAGTAATTATAAATAATTTTGAATGCTGCTGTTATCAAGATCTGCTTTCATTCATTTTTAAAATCCATTAGAGTTTGTACGAAGTGACACAGAAGAACACAATTCACCTCAGGAGAGTTTCACCTCTTCATGAGATGTGTATACATAGACACACATATTTTAAGAAGGCCTCGCAGCCCAGTGTTGGCCAGCTGAAGCACTGGACAGAAATGTTTCATACCTTTGGAGCTCAAGCTGGGCACTCACTTTCCTGGGCTGATTTTCAGGAATGCTGAGTTTCTCTAGGGGTATTCTTCTATAAGTATAAGGGGTATATACTTAGTTTATCTTTTGTGACAGCTTTCAAACTAATTTTGGCTGAAAACCTCCAATGATGCAGATAGAATTTACCAAAAAAACCCCTAAATATTTGCTATAAAATACTTGAGTAATTCCCTTAAGCAAACACCAATCCTCACCAAACGTTGCGCCTCAAGTTACAAAATCACTCCCTGATTTTGGTCTCTGTAGCTTTGAGCAGGTGAGTCGGCTCTGCCTTGTTACTGACACCTGCCAACATGAGACATGGGCTGCTTTTCTCCAACAAACAACGGAACACCCCCGAGGTTGCCACACAAGGGATTCCACTGCAGAGCCTGCACACCATGCCTCAGGTGCCAACGTTCTTCTCCTTGCTGTACGAGTCCACAAAAACGAATCCCTTCATGAATAAGTTCACTGCAGAGAGCAAGAACTTAAACTTTATTATTTTAAATTGAAGATGGCAAGAGTGATAGTGTTGAGGTGTTGCAAGAAAATGTTTATATAGTTTTGGAAGATGTTAATTTGAAGAAAAGGACAAGCCTTTGGAAAAGATTGGGATTGGAAAACAGGATTGTGAAAGCTCAGGAAGCACGAAGCTGGTTCTGGAATGAGGACAGAGATGGGAAAGATGGCCACAGGAACAAATGAAATAATAACAAACTCCTCGAATTTTAAAAGGGAAAAATAAGGTAAGCTGTGAGCAGAACTTTGTGAAATGAAGGGCAAAAGGCCCTAGGACAATGACAAAGGTAAACCCAGGGATAATCTCAGGAGACGCAAAAAGGAAATAGTTCCAGAAACTGGCAGGGGTGAGAGGGTACGGCAAGGGTCTTCACGGTTGACAGATAAGGGGCGAAGGGACAGAGGAGCTGCTTACTTCTACATAAGAGTTGTGGGGATACAGGATGCACAAAACGATACTCGATGGTCTTTGAACCAGAAGGCATCAGAGAAGGAAAAACACAAATAAAGTTCTCAAGAAGTCAGGTACGTTTTAAGACTCCAACCAGCGCTAACATGATACAATGGCAGTGGAATCCCTGTGCACCTACAGTCCCAGGACAACACACATTCCCTCCTGCTGTTGAGCAGCAGCTGCTGATCTCTTACCACGGTCAGGTAACTCTAAAAGTGTTTTGCTTGCTTTTTTCCTGAGCTTCTGCTTAGCATTATCTCCAGCTACCAGCACTACACAGACGACATAATCCAAAGAGTTTTGTTGCTTTACCACCTAAACTCTATTTCCGTGTTACAGAAGTGCAGAAAAACTCACTTCCCTCTCTACCACCAGACTCCTGATCAACCTGGAGAAGAGAATAGTCAGAAATAAACAACCATTCCATCTTTTTAATAGTGCAGTTGACTGGCAGGTTTGCAAAAGAAATTCTTCTGGTTTTCAGTACCTCTTCGGGATGTTTCTTGATCAATTTTGTCTCTCATTACAACCAGGTCTGTATTCTCAGCAAGTAACGAGTCTTCCAAGTCAATATCCAAATAACA